TGCCGTGAAGTAAACCGACACCCATCCGTTTTGAGGAGAGACGGATTCAGGGTCTTTTCGGTCTAAAAACGACTCTTTTATTAGTACTAAAACAGAGTCGGACCGGCGCCAGTTTTTGGGGTCGTGCGGGTCGTTTTCAGACTCTAAAACAGGGTCGTTTGTTCTATGCGGGTGTAAAATTCCAGCTCGAAAAATATATCTTTTTAAAATTCCATTCAGTTATTTTGTAAATGCTATTACTTTTTATTTAATAATTTGTTCCTGAAAATACATTTTTTTAAATTCAAATTTATTTAAAGATTTATGAAAGTAATTACTAAAGCAAAATAAATAGATTCAGTTTTATTTAATATTATTAATTCTGCACAGAGAATAAAAAATTCTTGGATATTGAATTGAAAATTTAGAATTTTTTAATAAAAAAATAATTTATTGGGAAAAGGTGGCAAAAATATTCAGAATTTTTGATTTTTTCTGTTTTAAACAGCGTGTTGTTGGTAAACAGTCTGATATAGTACGTCACTACCATTTGCAGAATCAGTTTAACAGTTCAATCAGACTTCAGTCAGCTTTTAGAATCTGTTGCAGCAACACCTACATGTACACTGAATCCTCATTAAATCCCGCTCTGTGATTGTTTGCCACTCAAATATGTGGTCCAATGAGATTGTAGCCTGAATAATCGGACCAGCCAAGAAGCGTGTTTTTTTATTCGAGAATAATCATGCCATTTAAAGTAATAAAAGAAGCAATGATTCATTTCTTGAAGGCCTTGGATATATCTACAATGATAAAGAAGGCGAATTGAAGAAAATGAAGAGAAGATGCAAGAAAGACTTGATTTAAAATGTTCCATATATTCGTGATATTTAATCTGAAGAACTATGAACCGATAGTAATATATTGAACTTCATGATATGAGAGGAGTTTCCAGACAAAGCTGGTCTTCCAAGCTAGTATTCACGTATACAGGTAGTGACCCTGCAAAGATAGCAATTCCTGATTCACAACAGTATGATTTGAAACATTTATCTAATCAATTATGGGGAAGATATTGTTGGATAATTTCCTAACATACAATTTTTGGACCCCCTCCGCCTCCAATCCTATCAATTTTGTACATGGACTTACACGTAAGACATGGATATAATTGTCCTTGTGGCCGCAGCTCCCGGCCCCCAAGCCTGTCCTAGCCGCGGCGCTCGGCCCCCTAGCCTGTCGTAGCTGCAGCACTTGGCCCCCTAGCTGTAGTGCTCGGCCCCCTAGCCTGTCTTACAGCCGCAGCGCTCTGCTCAGAAAGTGTCTCAATCTAACCTAACCCTAAATATATACTAATTTTGTTGAAAATTGTTGAAAAAAGGTCATGCACAAAATTGATAGGAGGGGGCGTATACTAGGACTGACCCTATTGTTGATTTTTTTAGGTTTAAAACTGCATTTTTAATTCTGATAACTTATTAATTTACCATGTTGAAATTTTTCATTGTCAAGGCTATTGCCAAAATTTATCCTCTAAAACCATTCCCTGGGTTTCCAAACTAGTAGAAAATATATCATTCAATGGTATTTATGGTTTGTTATGTTGCAGGCTGTTGAAGAGGAAGGATGAGAATGAGGAGAAGGATAAATGATCCCTGCTCAGATTGTTTGGGACCAACAACGTCATTGTCAAGAAGAAGAAGGAGGAATAGAGGATAGAAAATCTGATCAGGTTAAATCATTTTCAAGAAATCAGAGCTTTTCTGGTTTGAATTTTATAACCAAGCATTTCTCCTCAAACGTAAAAGTGCTGCACATTGGATATCAAGATTGAGCTATCAATATAAACAATATTCCATACAAAAAAGTTTAAAGATTTATTGCATGGGGATATAAAGAAAACTTCAACTTTCCTTGTTTTTCTGTTACTTAATTTCTGTAATTTGAAGAACCATGGAAATTTTCTTAGCTGGATTCAAAAATTTTAGGTTTGTTGGATTGACTTTTTACAGGGAAAGTTTTGTTTCCAGACAAAGCTGGGTTTCCAAACTAGTTGAAAATATATCATTCAATGGTCTTTCTGGTTTGTTATATTGCAGGCTGTTGAAGAGGAAGGTTGAGAATGAGGAGAAGGATAGATGATCCCTGCTCAGCTTGTTTGGGACCAACAACCTCATCGTCAAGAAGGAGAAGGAGAAGGACAAGGAGGAGCAGAGGATAGACAATCTAATCAGGTTATATCATTTTCAAAAATTCAGAGCTTTTCTGTTTTGAATTTTATAACCAAGCATTTTTCCTCAATTTTAAAAGTGCTGCACATTGGATATCGAGATTGAGCTTTCAATATAAAAAATATTCCATACCAAAAGAGTTAAATGATTTTTTTGCATGGGGATTCAAAGAAAACTTCAACTTTCCTTGCTTTTCTGCTACTTAATTTCTATAATTTTCTCCTAGAATTATCTTCTCAAGTTTTTTTTAATTGATTTAATACTTCAAGATATTTAGCTTTACAGTTATTCTTTAAAAAAATATCCAGACCCTCAAATTTTCAAATTAACCCATTCGTGACGGGACGGTCAATTTTGACCGGGTAAGGTTTTTAATTTTTAGCGTCTTCATTTTTAAACCAAATGTCGTCTCGTTTTATTCCAGATCCTTCCTACATATATGCCAAGTTTTGCAAATAGGTGACAGGTCGATAGGTTAAACCGGCTTCACTTGGGAGGTAAATACAATGTCAACATCTTTAAATTCTGAAACCTCTGGGGACAACAGGTATAAATCAGTGAAAAAATGTTTTTAAAAATTATTTGTTTTTATGAAAAGTGTGCATTTATTTGTCAACTTTATGCTAATGTTATGTTCAGTGTAAAAAGTTTATGTGTACTGCTCTTTTTTTGTCTTTTTTCTGCCCGATCAAAATTTACCGTCTCGAACCAGGTCAATTTTGACCGGCCGGTCGGAATGCCAGTTTTTAGGCACACACTGTGCAGTATACAACCTACCCCAATATAGTATATTTTCAAACACACCCTCCTGTATAGTATATATATATACACCCCACCCCCTGTATGGTATATATATACACCCCAGTTAACGAGTTTTAATTCATTTTAGGAGAACATTTTTAGAGTTTAATGTTATGATTTCTTAATATTTACAAAAATTTTGAATAATTTATTCAATATAATTTAATGTATATGATGTGTAAGTCCCCCGTCAGGTGTCTCTGGCTGTAAATAAACAATATAAACTGGTTTTTTATTCAATATTATGTAAAATCGTGTTTCCAGATTTTGCCACTAGGTTGCAGCACTGCTGCACCAACAGTGGTATTCTTAAATTTTTAATAATATATTCAATACAGTTGTATGAATATGACTCGCAATGTCAACTCATGATTAATTACGTATTCTATTCCAAAGTTTTGAAAAAAATATTCAATAATAGGAATATTCCTATCCTATTGGATTCTATTTGGTAAACAAAATTATTCAAAATTTAGATAAAGTTTATTCAATATTATTGTTGTGATAGCGCAACTAGAAAATGTTGAATAAAATATACAATAAAAAATTTACAGTGTATTCCAGGATATCCAGGTATTCCAGCCAGGATATCATTTACAGTTTTCAGTAAAATATTTGCTGGGTTAACAGGGTCCCTTTTTTCATTCATCTGATGAAACAAATATGTATAAGATTTAGACATCCCAACCTGTAACTGTTCAGTAGCTTAAATATAATTCACTATGGTATACTACTAAACTATGGTATATGTAAAAGCACCATGCTGTATCTAGGTTTTTGTGCAAAACCATTTCTAACCATGTCAAAAAAGTAAATTGCAGCATATGCAATATCAAATAAATCATACATAGCTAAATACTGGTTAAATAATAACTTTAAATTATGTAATTTACTCTAGTAAACCACACGCCTCAAACTTTACACTTGTAAAAAAATCATTGAGATTGGACATGGTTAAATCAAAATACAATTTAAACAAATTACTTTTCAACACAACATTAATGTCTTATTTGGCCTTGATGGGTTAAGAACAATCATTTAGTTCTTGAACCTAATCTACATCAAATCTTTGTAAATGAGAAAAAAAAAATTTATTTTAATGAAAATATTTCTGTTAGTATTTTTAAAGTTGTGAAGTGTATGGATATAGATCCGATTTTAACAACTTTTTTGAAATTAAAAAAAAATGATTTTCAAAACAATTTTAAACAAAAAGAAAGAAAATGAAAATTTTATGTTTAAAAATAAAATAAACTTGAAATAAAAAAAAACAAGAAAAAAAAGTTTCATTTAAAGTGAAGAATGGGGAAAAAGTAGTTTTCAGATTTAAAACAGAAAATATTTCACAAAATTAACTTGTTTAACTAATTTATTTAGACTTTTTTATCAGTTGAATTGAGTTCTGGATTAAATATAGTGTAGTTCAGTTTCTCCATTATTGAGCTGCACTGTTCTTCTATTATCCTACATAAAAAAAGAATTATTAATAAAAGAACTTTCAACATTAACTTGATGCTCTTCCTTTGCAATATGTAAACCTTCATAATTAAGTAATATTTACTTGTTAAGTCCACAGTTCCCAATCTAAAATTTCTGAATTAATTTCCCAAATTATTTTTCATAAATTATATAATACAAGAAATTATTTTCTTGGAATATTATGAGATATTCTCAGCATATTCCTGATTAAATTCCCCAACCATGCTGGACTGTTCTGAGAATCAATAATAAACTCAAACTGTTTAGAAGTATACCCGACAAGATATTATAGTTGTTTTTGATCAATTACTGAAGTTGTCTTGTATGTTGCATTTTCATTCAACTGAATTGTCAAAAACAAATGCAAAAATTGATAAATTATTTTTAGATATGGTTTCAGTTCCCCAAAAACCCAGAATTTCTTGAAAAATATTCCGTAGAATTTATCAGGAATTTATAAAAACTCTGATCCCCCAAAAAATTCTCAAAATTGAGGATTTTCAAAAGAGAACTTGTTATTGAGAAATTTCCCAGGAATTTTCAAAGTCACCAATACTGGAAAACTTCTGGAAATTCCTCATTTGTGCTCTAACAGTAAATGTGTATGAATAAATGTATAACCAAAATCTGAATTACCTAATTTCTTTCAAGTGGAGACCCATTTTCCAGGAGTCTGTTCTGAACCCGCTTTCTCGAACAGTACCGTAAAAACCATTTCCAGATTTTACCCTAATTTCAAACAGTATTTCTAACTTGTAATTTTTTATTCCAAGTCATATTTTCTTGTCGACAAGCCACCTAAAAATCCTCTCTCTTATATCTTTTTTTTAAGTGTACAATCTTGAAAGATAAAACTTTTTTTTTTATTCTAGCCTCTTCAGGTAAAAATAATAATATAAATTTTTTGTATTGCACATAATTGTATTGCAATTTGGATCTTTCAGAAAAATGCAAAATATGATAATTTTTAAAAATGTTCAAAAATTTAAAGAGTTTCTGTAAAAAACTATGTTTTATTTATGGTTATATTGCAATTTTGGGTTATTTAATATGCAAGAAAAATTTGTATTTTGAGAAACACTGAGTTTTCTAAATTGTATAACAATAATGGCCACCCAGTGTAAAAGAGTTAAAAATAATCATGAAAATTATGAAAATGTGTCAGACTTAGTCAAAGATGACCAGAGGGATGATAGTCAGTTGATAATAATTTCTGAAATTGTCAAAAAGTACACGACACATGCTATTGCAGAAAACTATGTTTATGCTTCCATTAAAAACAAAGTAAAGAGATGCAATTTATGTTTATAAATACCTTGGATTGTTGTGCTTGGAAACAGCTTTCTTTACCTGAACAAGATAGTAAATAGCTAGAAATAAAGTTGTTTTAAAATAATCTCAGAATCAGTGTGTATTCGAACCTCCGAGAGGAAGGGCGTCAGCAGAGCTTTTTAAGCCTGTTGAGAGAAAGGGTGTTATGTCCTTTGCACTTGTAAGTAGTCTAAACATCAAGGTTACTTCTCTCCACAACTAAGCGGAAAATGAGACAATTCCCAAACAAGATATGGTAATGTCAGCAGAGCTTTCTAAGCCTGTTGAGAGAAAGGGTGCTATGTCCGTTGTGCTTGTAAGTAGTCTAGATATTGAGGTCACTTCTTTCCACAACTGAGTGTTAAATGAGACAATTTCCAAACAAGATATGGTAATTAAGATAAATACATTAAAAATATCCATCAAAAAGTAGGGCTGTCTCTTTGATTGTGTTGCATTCAATCTCAATAACTTTTAAGACTCCAAACATGAAAATTTACAGGAAATGGGAAGAAGGCGTTCAGCCTCTGAAAGTGACAAGGGGTATGTTCTGAGCAGTACTTTAAACCCAGATGATCCCATTCAATTAGATAGATTACCTAATTTGAAAAATTATGCATTTCCACCCCAAATATCAATGTCAGGTTATTTATTGATAATTTATATTAAAATAACAAGGGGTCCCATCTAGAAACTAGAATCCAAACCATATCTAAAGGGGGTTCAAGTTCTATTAATATGAGACTGAGAATTGATTATACCCATATCAAAATTGATGTTTTAGAATAAGGGGACCTTACTACTAATTACATACATACTGTAGATGTAATAGTGTTTTATATTAATAACTCAAAAGGTTGAAATCTTCCTCGAAATGAATATCAATTTCACACACTAACCATATAACACGAGTCACAAGACAGTAATTAATAATAGAAAAGCAAACTAATTATAGGTTGATTGATGCATAATGTACATGAGTCTTCTCACAATGTCCCGATCATTTTACTTCTCCTCCTCATACCAAAGATCGTTGTAGACTAACTCTCTAGATCCTGCAGGTTGACCTGCTTGTCCTTTCCAGGAATCCCTAGTTTTTCCAACTTCCAGGTGAATCCTTGATAGGAATTCCCAACTCTTACAGGGCCCCACTGCTCCAGGTTCTATGTATAACTCTATTTACTAGAGATAAACAACACTAAAATAAAACCAGGGTAAATATTCCCTGTTCACAATATCATCACTTTCTGGATCGCTACAATAGATAATAAACGTAATGCATTTTGTACTGAAATTGAGCAAAAGATTTCTTAAATTTTACTTGCAAGGGGTGATCATGATTGGTGAATTGTGGAGTTTAAAGGATAAACTGAATGCTGTAAGCAAAGTAGCCAACCTACCTAACTACCTTTCAACAAATTTACAATCTGACTAGACTCCAAATAATGGTACTACAACAAATGATTCTAGGAACTCTAATCTTGATGATGTCTTTCTAGATTTTCCTGATAATATTAATAATATTTACCGTCTTATCTGTCAAGAGGGGGGAAGGGGGTTTTAATCTATCTAGGATAGAATTTTTTAGTGTTAGAACTGTAGTGGCATCAGGATCTGAGCCCTGTACAGTGGGTTTCGGTTCAGCTAGATAGAAAACCCTTGTTAATCCTACTAATAACTTCCTTAAGCATAACTTGGACAGCATGGATCTGAGTCCATCTAACCGATATATTAGACTGGATACCTCGTCTACATATGAACCCTCAGTTTAGGAATAGAAATTATTTCAACCTGTACTGATTTGATAGCTATGATGAAGAGTAAGTAGACAGAATAGTCAGGAAGAGAAGATAAGTAGGCTGCATGACAGTGTAATATCCTTGAATGTAGCTATGCAGGGTGATGAGTCTATTGATACAGGAGTCAATTGATATGTTCTAATACTACTGAGATATGGACAAGACTAGTTAAGATTGAGTCTAGGTTAGACAAGTTAGTGAGAAAGGTTGAGAGAGTGGATACTGCTTAACTGGAGAGGATTGATATGGTTCAGGAATAGTTTGAGGATATACCTGAACATCCTACTCCGGAGAATCTCAGAGAGGTTGTCAACTCTATCCAAAAGATTATTAAAGACAGTGCCCCTGGACCGGCTGTGGATTACATCAGGGCTGAAGTTAGGGAATTAAGGAAAACTGTAGACACTAGTAGACATGCAACTGAAGGTTTAAGAGGATTGGTAGTGAACCTGTCGGACCAGGTGATGATTCCTCAATTCAAGTTCATACCGATGATGGTCAGTTTCCAATAGATAAAATAAACCTGGAGAATAGTTACAAGGAACAAGAGATCGTGAGAAAGGGTATAGAAAGAGTAGAAAAGCAATTCAGGGAATTAAATTAGAATGTAGTAGATACTGAACCCTTAGATTGCATTGATCAAGAAATGTAAGACAGTAGATGTACCTGTAGTATGTCAAATTCCCTGATATGGATTCAGATTATTGTGATTCCAGTAATGTACTGCTGCATATTGAAGAGAATTGGTGTTTAAGAAGAGAGGAACTATGTGATAAAGCTGAGATCCATAGTATTAATACTTTTCAAGGGAGTACTGCAGATGTTGGAATAATGCCAAAAATACTGTATTCCTAAATCTGTGAAGCTGGCCTATTTGGGTTGGGGAAATTCTATGCACAAGGCAAATATATTGTATAACTGTCATTTATCTGAGGAAATTAAGATTAAGCTTATTAATAAATTTGATTCTTATCTTGTTAATCTGAAATTATGGAGGGTTGTCAAGGATTATAAATCATATCATGAAAGCCTAGTTCTAATGATGATAATGCTAAATTTTCATTTTATACTTATATGTTTGATGCTCTGCAAAGATTAGAGAGACTGTTAAAGGTGAGCAGTATAGTCAAGCTCGAATTAGAGAATTTCCTATACTCCAGAGCTACCCTGAGTAGCTTATCTCTGATTTTTCCTCCTAGGACGTATACCATGTTACTTCATTCTATGCTTATATCTCTGGTTCTCTTTAAAGATTAGAGAGACTGTCGAAGGTGAACAGTATAGACAAGCTAGAAAGAGAATTGCCTATACTCCAGAGCTTCCATGAGTAGGTTATCACTGATTTTTCCTTCAATGAAGTATACCCAGTGGATCACAGAAGCAACCAAGAAGTATCTTGATTATAAGAATCAGGCTGGTTCTGCTGCATATCAAGTGTTCAAGAATTTATGCACCATTAAAAGGAATATAACCCAACTAACAAAACTCAGGTTTTTGATGAGATTAGCATGGTGGAGAACTGGATGATAATTCACATGATTAATTCACAGCCCCTCCTTGTGTTATATTCTTGCTATAGCTACTTTTCACAATCTTGCAGATTCATCCAATGTAAAGCAAGGGTAAGAAATGCAGACATATTCTAGTAAAATTCCCATATTTTTTTCACATGTTTTGCATGTAGCAAGGATACCAGTGCAAGATCACACATATTCCCAACGTGTTAATCATGAATAATGTAATGCCAGAAAATCTAGATTTTAATTCTTGTAAAATGAAATATTTTAACTGACATAAATTTTTCATATTATAACAAGCATGAGCAAAGTATAGAAAAGTTTCATATTGAATTTTGCATAGTATTTCTCAACAACCCTTTTTGGAATAAACTCCTGAAATTATGAAATTTTTCTCTGAAGGAAATATGATAAAATTTATAAACTTTAGGAGAAAAAAATCCGCAAATATCTTAGAAAAAATTCTCAATCTTCAGTAATTTGAATATGCTTCAAGCAGTAAAGTATTACAATGCTCGTGGAGCATCTGTGAACTACATTTAATTTAACCAGGTTCCTACTTGTCAAGGTTCCATTTCTATAGATGTTTATGTATATACTTGTGTGTGTATAATCTTTATGTAACTGGTATATTAGTAATTGTATAATAGAAATAGAACATAATTTAGATTTTAATTTGATCATTAACACAAGACAACTAGATTAAATATAAATTGTGAAACATTTTTTAAAAATTTGATATTATGGCGTTTGTTTTTCAGGAGTTTGTCTTGTCAGGAGTTTGTCTCATCAGAAGTTTGTCTCTTCAGGAGTTTGTCTTTCAGGAGTTTGTATTTTCAGGAGCTTGTCTTTCAGGAGTTTGTCTTTCAGGAGTTTGTCCTTCAGGAGTTTGACATGGCCACCTTAGCTGATGCTATAGAATTTGCAGGAGGCTCAGTGATCTACGCAGGCAAGGAATTAAGCCCTGATGTTTGGACATGCTCCCTATTAGCTGCTTAGTCTAAGATTTTATCTGAGACAATACTGAGGTTAGTTCAGTGGAATGCAGGATCAAAAGAGGAGGATGATAAAGATCTGGAGGATGTAGTGATTAAGGCTCCTATTGTTAAGGAATCAGGAAAGGAGTTTTATTTGTTCTGATGGGTCCTGCTTCTGGTCATTCCAGGATGGCACATCTGAGAAGTACAAGTGCTGTGTCTCAGGCTGATACTTCAAGATTGTGGACCTATGATGACAAGATTGTGGGCGTAGAGGACAAAGGTGCTTTCCAAGACAACCAAGAGTTAAAGTTTGAGATTCCTAAGGATGAGGAGGAAATCGAGTTGTAAACACTGAATGGATTAGTTTAAACTATAGACTAAGAATCTGGGATCAAGTTATAGTAATGATTATTGAACCCTATAGTTAATAAACCCAGCACTTGAAAATATGAATTGGAATAATTTTAGGCACTGTGGTCGATTTTAATCAAAATGTATGGGTTACCATATCAGTAATGCCTTTAACAGATCATGGATAACCATACAGGTCAATAAATAGTGTTTTAGGAAGGGGGCAGAAATCTTTAAATATCCCTGATACTTATTTAAACAATGGTATTGTTCTTTCAGGGGCATAAAGATCCACATTCTACATTAGCAGTTTCCTACCAGAATCAGGTCCCACAAGAGACATTGATTTCATTACAAAAGATAAAGGCTACCTATTTGTATAAAGTGGTGCAGCTAGATTGAAAACTTTCAACTTCAGACAGACAGTCATTAGACCTATTCTTTAATCCGTGATAACATAAAAGCATTTGGAGGAGGCTGTTTAAAAAAAAAACAGAAAAACACATGAAAGGAGAAAAAAGTTTCAAAAGGAATTGAGTTTTTGCCACAAACTCAAAATTTCTAACACTATAAGTTTGGCAACCAATAGGTGTAAACCTTTGCTATTTCAAACATAGATTATTTGAATTCATAAATTATAATATTTAAAGTCTACAATATTGGGTTAAAAAGATATTGTGAGTAGAAAATCAGAGTCAGCGGCCAAGAAATTAATGTGACAATGGCAGGAACAGGAAAGACAAACTTGGATTACTAGAAGTGTTAGCAATGTGTTAAAAGACAGGTCCAGGATTTAGGTTTCCACAAAACAGCCAAATCTCTTGCGAAACAGTTTCGGGGTTTTGCATGAAATGACTTTTTTGCACAAAATTCCGAATCATTCCGCATATGAAACCAGTTTTGCACAAAATTGTGCATTTATTCAAAATAAATAATTTTTTTGCATGAAATCTTGCATGAATACAAAATTTAAGTCATAATTTTTTTATGATATTTGCATGAATTCAGGTCATTTTTGCAAAATCATAAAAAGTGGCAGAACTGATAATAAAAATATTTATAAAATACTTAAAAAACCCCCTTTCCCTTTCACAGGATTTCATGAATCGCTATATTGCAAAACAGCAAGGACTTCTTGCCTCCCTTACAGGGGGGGGCAAAGCTTCTTAAGGAAGGGGTAAGTTCCCTCCCCTTAATCCGGATTGCAAAACAGGGTGGACATCTTGCCCCCCCCCCCTACAGGGGAGGCAAGACTTCTTAAGGGAAAGGCTCTAGAGGGGGCCTTGCCCACTTGGCCCCCTTTGTTGTGCGCCTGAGTGGACAGATGATTAGTGAATGTGATTATGATAAATTATTTCTTAAGAAACTCAGTTACATTTAAAATTTGGTGATGGTGATGAACCAAACCTCTGAAGAGTAAAAAAATGTAGATGTTAGTTCCACATTTATTGAAAATATATTTTGGTCTGGGTTGACCCTCATCAGTTCTTGAGATTGTTTCTGTCACAGAGATTAAAAACAAACTTGAGATTGATTGCCGGTAAAAGGTCTAATAGTTGGTACGGTCCGGTGACCTAAAACCTGAGAATTTGGGCTCATTCAGCCAGCATGTGTGAGCACCGAGCAGGCTGGAGTAGAGATGACTCTGATTGGCTTAATTTTGAATTCATTCATATTATCCTTGCATTGTTTCTCAAAATTCAAGGAAATAACGAAATAGCTCGAAATCACAAAATAGCAGAAAAAAATGAAATACGCAAATACCAAGATTTTTTTTCAGAATTTGCACGAAATAGCTTTAGCACATGAATGTGCAAAAAACATCAAAATTTCGTGCAATTTTTACTCAAAACGTAAGCAAATCTTTGCGCAATTTTTGCACGATTTTCGTGCAATAAAATTTTGACTGGAAACCCTATTCAGGATCAGGATCAATCCTACAATTTTTTATTTTTTTTTAAAAATGTGTTTTACAGGTGGATTTAAAGTTCATCATAATTTTTTATTGATTAGGATGTAATGAAAAAAAGATTTTGTTTGGACAGTGCATAAAAGAAGAGCACCTCAGAGTCACATGTTAGAATTTTCTCAAACCCAAGTCTCTTATTCAGTTCACTCAAAAAATTGTTAAAATGATTGATTAACTTCTGAGAATTTCTCATGAATTTCCAGAGAAATTCTCTAAAATTTCTTATTTAGTTTCCCAAAAAAACCATACAATTTTTGATCAAGTCCTAAGAAACTTTTTAGAAAAAATTTCGGAGAAATTATTAATAATATCTCAAAACTAAGTCTTCATAATATTATCCCAAATAAATACTGAAATAAGGATCCAGTTTTGCAAATTTGGAAAATTTCTTGAGAATTATGAAACTCATTTTTCTTATCTGGGCTGTGATTAATATAATTTTATGTCTGTTTTTAATGAAAAAAGTAATTGCTTACAGATGGTACTTTTTTTAAAATTATAATATGATCATAAAAAATGCCTGATCAGAATAAGGTAGTTCTAGGAATTTGTAAATCTGTTCCAAATTGGTTTCAGTATTTTCAACTAAGTCTTCGTACCTAAAGAAAATCGGAATATAAAATATATAAGGGTTAATAACATCAAAGTTGAAATGCATCTGATTTTTATGGTATCTTGCTTAACAGTATACTTTGGGCTGCAGAGATAACAAATTATTTTAAGAGTTCCATTTTGATTGATAACTTTAACTGTTGTTACCATCATTTTCTCCCTTAAAGAATATTATTTTGATACAGGCTATCTTTCTGATTTGCTCTTTCAAATTGTTGTTATCTTTAAAATTCATATATATCTATATATAAATTTAGCTTGTCTGAGCGTTTGTTTGTTTGTTTGTTTATATTCAAAAAATGTCAAAACAGCTGAACCAATCAGGCCCAAATTTAGTTTAGGACATCACATGACCCAGGGAAGGTTTATGAATGATCAAAATTTTAAAAAAATGTATTTTTTTAATTTTTGTAAAAAGTTTAAAATCTAATAAATCCGTGAATTGTTTTTCTTTGATTTTTAATGTTTACAATGTTCAAAATTGAAATAAAAGATAGGCGCAAAGGGGCCTAATAGCCTAGTACATTATAATCATATAGGAAAAGTGTATTTGCATACTTTTAGTTACAGATTCAGATAATAATTTAGTAAATCATGTTTAAATTTAGAATTTTGAGTCCACCATTGATATACCATACCGAATTCTTATATATCTTGAGCCTAAACCATCTTTCAGACTAACATCATCCTAAAAATTGTATTTATAATTTCAATATTTTTTTTTTCATTGTTAAAATACTTCACTTAGATCAGCAAGTATCAAAATTTGGATTTTAAAAAAATAGTTTATTTTTAAGAAACAATTGGTTTACTAAATTTGTTTAATTGTTTATTAAGAATGAATGTGAATTTTAAAGTGATAAAGAATGGAAAGGAAAATATTAGAACATTTGAATTTTTCAGTAAATATTTCTAAAAAGGGTAAGTAAGAATATTTCAAAATATGTGCTATATACAGATCCTTAAAAAAATATATTAATACATAATAATATCGAAAATATTTGTTTATTCCAGTAAAAGTTTTGAATCAGTAAGGAATATTAATAAGAAAATCCATTCTTGAGAATAGTTCTGAAACAAGTAATGTAGTTCTGAAGCCATTAATCAACTGATTAACTGTAGAAAAACGGAGAAACATGAAATAAATCCTCAAATAAACCTGAATTGTATTGCATAGCTGTGAAACATTCTTCAAAGTCTGCTTAAAATCACTTGAACGGGAGTTCATTGATTTTATCATACCTCTTGGATCCCGCACAAGATGAACAACCTATGGATCATAGTTAACATTAAAAAACTCATTCGAATATATCTAAGCACAGTTACTTTAACAATTTCTGTGAATTAGAAACATTTCTTTTTTTAAATCTAAATATTTATTTTGTAGCAGAGATTAAAATATTACAATTGTATTACAAATTTACAACTTTCATAAATGGAAAAACTACATTATTTATTTTCTATATAAATGATTCATATGATAGACACAGATTAGACTTTGAATGCCAGTGCAATATTTCGCAGCTGACTCCCTCGTCATTCATTGCTGAGAAACAACAGAACTTCCTATAGTTATTAACCAACTGATATTTTATTTGGTTGTCTACTTTTTCATATGCTTTAATTGCATTGTGTCTAACTGGGCAATCTGTACATTCTTTTTCTTCACAGAAAGTAAAAACTGGGTTTGCAATGTTCACAGGTGGTTTAAGTTCGATTTCAAGTTCAGTTTCAGATTCTGGATCAGCTTCAGTCTCAAGTTCAGGTTCAGGCGCAGACTCAGTCTCAGGTTCAGGTTCAGGCGCAGTCTCAGCCTCAGGTTCAGGTTCAGGCGCAGACTCAGAATCAGGTTCTGGTTCAGGCGCAGACTCAGTCTCAGGTTCAGGTTCAGGCGCAGACTCAGGATCAGGTTCAGGTTCAGGCGCTGACTCAGGATCAGATTCCTCAGTAACCTTAACAGGTTAAGCTTGATATCCATTCCTAGATCCACTCCTTCCCTATACAACTCCAAGAGTTTATGTGTAATTCTCATTGTTTTGTGTTCTAAACTCCCCCCCATAGCAACAGCTGGGTCAGCTGGTATCAGGCTAGGAGAGAGAGAGTCACAGAGATGTGTTGTTGCTATAGCAGGGTTAGGTGGAGACGAAACGAAACAGTTCTTATAGGTTATATTTTAAATAATTCTTAGCAATTTTTCTAATAAAAAGTTTAAAGATAACAACTTTAATTTACTTTGTACTATAATTAAAGTGAAAGTGTCAACGTAAAGATGGAAATGTCCCATTCACAAAAGGACTTTATTAGAACCTTCATTAAAAAGATATTTTCGTTTTTCTATGCTTAAAATTGATTAGTTTGTTCTCCTGGGGTAAAATTTCAAAAGTTACTTTTGTAGAGAAACTACAGTTGAAAATAATCAGTTTTGATTGTTCTAATCTTTGCATTTGGGTCATTTGAAATCAAATCTACATGATTACCTTAATATCTGAAGAGTAAATCCAGGGCTCTAATCCATCCTTGTGAAGTCGGATTGATTTAATCACCAAAAATATATTCTTCATTATTGGATTGTGTTTGATTTTATGTTAAATAGTTGAATTTTTAATGAACCCTATATTTAAACTTCACTTACCTCTGGTGGTATTGGGATGCTCCCCCCCCCCCTGACAATACATAGATTCAGGACCCCCAGCCTGTATTGGCTTAGCTACAAAGAAAAATTAGAAAAGTAATGATCATGATAAACATGTTTAATTAGTGGCCTTAGAACCATCATAATATTGAATCTAACTTTGGCTTAGTTTTTGAGGACAGTATAAAGATTTACAAAATGTCAAAGCTAGATGGAAAATCTTGTGATCAAAATGTTTAATATCTTAAGATGAATTATTTTCAACCTTAGTTTCAGCATTTACACAGTCAACATTTCGGGTACGAATTCCATAATATCCATTTCTAAGTTTTATTCATATTTAGCAAATTGATTTTACAAATGCTTTTTACAAAAAGAAAATATTTTAAATTACTTTCTGGAAAAAAACTTCATTGTATATAATGTATAAGAATTAACATTAAAAAAGGATTGTGATCAATTTTATTTCAATTTGTAATAATTAATATATATTGCTAATGATCCTCAGTGTTTAGTTGGGTTCTTTGTCATAGTTAACAAATCAACTTTTCTTTAGATCAATACTGCATGACTTATTGATGTATAAACTTTTTAACTATGAAATTTTTATTCTTGGTTAAATTTGAAAATTTTGTTAGTCACAGCTTACAAGCAATTAATATAATATTTAGGAATTCAGTTCATTTAATAGTTGCCAACAGAATAAAATAATATAGTACTCTTCTGTCTTAATGTCTCAAGGATGTTAACAGAAGATATTTTAGAAATCATCAAGGGCCTTAGCTGTGAATAGGTTGTTGAAGATTATTTCATGCAAAAATATCATAAAGTTTAAGAGGAAAATTTATAAAATTTTGCAGTTACTCTGAAATACATTTGTTCTTTCTTTTTCTATTTTTTGTCTAATATCCACATGAATGGTTATTTTCAGTTGCAAAATCTTCTATTAATATTTAATTCTTTAATTCTTTAGGTTCATTAAAAAAGGTTGCGCAGCCCTAGTCTTCCCAAAACTACTTACTATGTAATACACTAAATCCCATCATAGTATGTATATGTGTATTGTTTTTTACAGAAGAAGTTTGTGGATTGCAATTCTTTTTAACTATCATAAATGGCTGTACAGCAAATATTTTAGTATTTGAATTTAATTTTGAAAAAATGTTTTTACCCTTTTAGTCTTTTCTGCAGAGAAGTAGTGCAATTAAATAATCCACACACATAATCCTGTACCTGCAACTAATGGTCAAATAAGATTTAATAATATTTAATTTTCTATGACAAGGGTTTGGAAATGATACAATTAAATTTGAATTGGACCATTTTGGGCAAACACTTAGATATCAACCGCATCACTTTGGGGGACATGGAAACGCCTCAATACGGAATCGGACCAAAAATATGTGGAAACCCCTCAAAAGAAGGTTTTTTTGAGATGTTTCGGGGATTTCTTCAAATTTCTCGGAAATCCCTCTAAATTCAAATTTTGAGGAGTTTCATCTTTTTTTGATCAATTTCTCAGAATTGTATATCCGTTTCCCATTTATTTTATTAAAATATTTTCAAGGGATTTCCCAATACTTTTGAGGGGATTCCAAATACTTTTGGTTCGTTTCCTCATTTTTTTTATCTGTTTCCACTTTTTTCAAAAACTTTAAAATTGATTGGTTTCATCAAACTTTAGATCCGTTTCTTCATATTTTTGATCAGTTTCCGCTTTTTTCAAAAACTAAAAATCCCATTATATTGATCAGTTTCCTCAAATTTTAGGTCCGTTTCCTCGTATTTTTTATTCATTTCCGTTTTTTTCAAAAATTTTAAAAATCACATTTTGTTGATCGGTTTTCTTAAATTTGAGGTGAGTTTCCTCATATTTTTGATCCGTTTCCGCTTTTTTCAAAACTTTAAAAATCTCATTTTGTTGAACGATTTCCTTAAATGTTAAGTCTGTTTCCTCATATTTTTGATCTGTTTCCGATTTTTTTCAAAAACTTAAAAATCTCATTTTGTTGATCGGTTTCCTCAAATATTGGGTTCGTTTCCTCATATTTTTGATCTGTTTCTGCTTTTTTCATAAACTTTAAAAATCTCAATTTGTTGATTGGTTTCCTCAAATATTAGGTCCATTTCCTCATATTTTTGATCCCTTTCCACTTTTTTCAAAAACTTTTAAAATCTTAATTTGTTGATTGGTTTCCTCAAATTTTAAGTCCGTTTTCTCATATTTTTGATCTGTTTCCGCTTTTTTCAAAAACTTTAAAAATCACATTTTGTTGATCAGTTTCCTCTATTTTAAGTCCGTTTCCTCATATTTTTGTTCCGTTTCCACTTTTTTCAAAAACTTCAAAATTGATATATTTCCTCATATTTTTGATCGGTTTCCTCAAATTTTAGATCCGTTTCTTCATATTTTTGATCCGTTTCCACTTTTTTCAAAAACTTAAAAAATCTCAATTTGTTGATCGGTTTTCTTAAATTTGAGGTCAGTTTCCTCATATTTTTGATCTGTTTCCGCTTTTTTCAAAACTTTAAAAATCTCATTTTGTTGAACGGTTTCCTCAAATTTTAAGTCTGTTTCCTCATATTTTTGATCTGTATCCGATTTTTTCAAAAACTTTTATAAATCTCAATTTGTTGATTGGTTTCCTCAAATTTTAGATCCCTTTCCTCATATTTTTGATCAGTTTCCGCTTTTTTCAAAAACTTTAAAAATCTCATTTTGTTGATTGGTTTCCTCAAATAATAGGTCCGTTTCCTCATATTTTTTATCCATTTCCGCTTTTTTTAAAAAACCTTAAAAATTTCAATTTCCTGATTGGTTTCCTCAAATTTTAGGTCTGTTTCCTCATATTTTTGATCCTTTTCCGCTTTTTTCAAAAACTTTAAAAATCTCATTTTGTTGATCGGTTTCCTCAAATATAAGGTTCGTTTCCTCATATTTTTGATCTGTTTCTGCTTTTTTCAAAACTTTAAAAATCTCATTTTGTTGATCGGTTTCTACAAATAATAGGTCCGTTTCCTCATATTTTTGATCCTTTTCCGCTTTTTTCAAAAACTTTAAAAATCTCATTTTGTTGATCAGTTTCATCAAATTTTAGGTCCATTTCGTCATATTTTTGATCCATTTTCTGCTTTTTTTAAAAAACCTTAAAAATTTCAATTTGTTGATCGGTTTCCTCAAATTTTAGGTCCGTTTCCTTATATTTTTGATCCTTTTCTGCTTTTTTCAAAAACTTAAAAATCTCATTTTGTTGATCGGTTTCCTCAAATATTAGGTTCGTTTCGTTATAGTTTTGATCTGTTTCCGCTTTTTTCATAAACTTTAAAAATCTCAATTTGTTGATTGGTTTCCTCAAATTTTAGGTCCGTTTCCTCATATTTTTGATCCATTTCCGCTTTTAAACTTTAAAAATCTTATTTGTTGATTGGTTTCCTTAAATTTTAGGTCCGTTTCCTCATATTTTTGATCCATTTCTGCTTTTTTTAAAAACCTTAAATATTTCAATTTGTTGATTGGTTTCCTCAAATTTTAGGTCCGTTTCCTCATATTTTTGATCCTTTTCCGCTTTTTTCAAAAACTTTAAAAATCTCAATTTGTTGATTGGTTTCCTCAAATTTTAGGTCCGTTTCCTCATATTTTTGATCTGTTTCTGCTTTTTTCAAAAACTCAATTTATTGAAACGCACCAAATAGGTTAATTATTTTTGATGGAACCCATAAGTATCCCGGGAGGAACATCGGCAAAAAAAAAAAAATTTAATTTGAAATTTAAGTTTTCTTAAAATTTCGTTTTTTTAATTGCACGGACAATGCCTGGCAGTTCAGCTAGAATTAAAATCTGGCAAAGAAAGAAACACACAATTTTAAAGCTACAGGGAACCCTGAATGAATATCTTTTGCTGAATGTTATAAAATCTTCAATTTTTTAAAAATCTTTAGCCTATGTGTTTTTAAAATGTTTTACAGATTACACAAATAAAAGAGTAAAGTATTCTTTTCTATGAAGTCATGAACTTTTGTAAATGCTTTTTGATTAAAAACTAAAGTGTATTCGTATCATGGTTCGATTCATACATACATGTGACCCTGCATTTTTAAAGTGAGACCCAGAAAATTGTGAAATTATAGGAAGACGACTTTTAGACTCAAGTTTTGACTTTAGTTCGATGAACATTAAACACAACAATGGTACAGTGTGCACTGATTATTTATTTTTTTTATTTTAGGCTACTGAAATTAAGGCCATTTGTGTTGTAATAAAATCAAATACACTTAAATATTGCTTTAATGTCGTCTTTCTGGTTTTCCCTGTAGAGAATTGTATTTTTAATCCTTTTTTAGTTCGAAAAAGTTATTCAATAATTTTAGAATGTATATCATTTAATGAACGTGTACAGAGTGTCCCAATAAACATAGGAATTCAGTGACGAATTTGATTTCAGCTCTTTGTTATGAATTAGCAGTGTAATTCCTAATTTCTAAAACCATAATATTATTATGTCTGCTAGAGTTTATTTAGTGAAAACACTAAATGACATTTATAAAGATTTGTCTATATGTGGCTGCAAGATGAACAGTGAAGACGGACAAGTTTACTCTGTTAGTTTACTGTAATTTGTTTGTTTTACTAAGTACAACCGTATGCATGGTCAAAACATAAACAAACAAATTGTAAACATAGCAGAATTCGTCACTGAATTCCCATGTTTATTGGGACATCCTGGATGAAATCTGTATTTTTTTATATTTATCAAATATTTTTTTATTAGCTGTAGAAATTACACAGATAAGACAAAGGTATTATTTATTTAAAGGTTAGACACTTTTGTGTATGTTTTTTGATCTTGGTACATGCTCATTTAAACTCTTTTTCGTGTATCAATCAATATAGTGTACGTACTGTGAAAGGTTTAAACAAATTAGTACACATATTTAGTCCTTTCTGTGGAATCAGTGATACACTATTTCATCAATATTTTATAAAAATGTTACAGTGAGAACCACAAAACTGTGGAACAGGAAGACAACTTTTAGACTAATTGTGCAGTGTGCACAGACCCATTTCACATAACAACTGATTTTTAAGGTTTTTGTAAAACCATTTTGCTTTATAACAATTCATTACATTTGTAGATAATGGCTGTTGTCTTAATTTTCCTCAGTGTTAAGGGTCTCACTGTAGTTTATATCTTTAATATTTTAAGTAACATTATTTGTTATTTTTTGCTTTTCTGAACCTTTGATTTTGCGAGAAAAAAAAGTTCACTGATTTTTTTTAACCATTCTATTACAAAAAAATATAAAATTTCTAAAATTTTAAAAAGTCNACAAACCTAAAATTTGAGGAAACGGATCAACAAATAGAGATTTTTAAAGTTTTTGAAAAAAGCAAAAACTGATCAAAAATATGAGGAAACGGACCTAAAATTTGAGGAAACCAATCAACAAAATGAGAATTTAAAAGTTTTTGAAAAACGCGGAAACGGATCAAAAATATGAGGAAACGGACCTACAAATATGAGGAAATTGTTCAAAAAAAAAGAAGAAACCATTCAACTCTAAATATTGGGAAACGGATACAAAATATTCGGAAATCCCTCAACAATTCTGAACTTTAGAGGGATTTCCTCAAATTTCTTAAAAAAACGGAAATTCCTCAAAAATAATTTTTGACCCGTTTCCGTGTTGAGTCGCTTCTGAGTTGAGGTGTTTCCATGTCACCATCACTTTGTGAAACCATGTAACCTTTCTATTAAGAGATTGAGGCATGAGAACTGTACGTGTTTAAATCCCGACAGTATTCCTTAACTCATAACGTGTAAGACATGGATATATTTGCCAAGATTATTTTAACTAGTCTAAATATCACAAGAGGTTTACAGGATTTATTTGCGACCTGTATTTAGCATGTTTAATACACGGGATAGTTCGTCGAGATGTTTATATCTCTTTTGTTTAGCACAAGATATTAACGGGATTTTTACATGACATGTATCACTAGTTCAAAACTGTGCTGAAAGCCCCCGTGCACAGCAAGAGAATTACTTTTGAATCACGGGTATCTGCAGTGCAAAAACTCGGCCCTAGACCAGTGATCAAATCGTCGACATTCACCTCGACAACACGTGAGTTATCACGGAATATTGACAAATCACTTGTGTGAAATAAACCAAATAATCTTGCGTTCTTCACGGGTTTTTGTTTGTTGGGTATGGACTCATAAAGTGGTTTTTAAGATATTAAAACTTAAAACATTTCTTACGCAGAAAGGAAGATATTTGGAGAAATATTTCTGGAGTAAACTTGGTTTGTTTTATTGTAATCTTTGATTTAAACAATACCTTTTTTTGAAAAACGTTAAGATTTATATAATAAATACAAACTTTTTAAATTTAATTTGAACTTCAAAAAAAGGTATTGCTAAAATCAAAGATTATAAAAGATTAAATAAAATTCAATTCAAATTTGTTTCTAAATATTTTCCTTTTCATGTAAAAAATGTTTAAAGTTTTGAATACCACTTTATTTTTCATAATTAGGCACTATTTATGATAATTAATAAATACTTCTCATCTTTGAGAAGTATCTCATACAACTATGTCTAAAAATTTCAAAAAAAATATTTTATTTAAACTTAAAACACAAGTTTAAAAAACCTACTGTATTACACAGGCACATTTTGATGTGTTGCCCATGCTCATTCCTGCAAAGCAGAGGCTTGGTCTGCCTAGCAACTCTGGGAGGCTCGTGTCTGCATAGCAGAGGCTCATGGCGTCTGGGGGTTCCCTCGTGGGGGTGGGGCGCTTAAGCTCAGGGGGACAGGAAGATTGTTGCCCCCCCTTTACGCTACTGCTAGTGTTAGCCCCCCCCCCAGCCCCCTCTGTTTATCACAATTCATACTAGTAACTTTGACTAATGACTATAACTCATAATAGCACGCACGCGCGCATTCTACCAAACAGACCAAACGTTGTTAGTTTTACTTACTGGTTTTGTCTATATGGAATTGGAAACTGTTGTCTTTACATAGATTTAATAGGCTTTCATGTAATTCTGGTACCTTGTTCCGGAAAATTCCGGAACGATTTTTCCTGAAACTTTCTGGAATTCTGGAACATTCCATAATCCCGGAACAACATTCCGGAAATTTCTGGTTTACAGAAAAAAAATTGTTCCTGAAACCGTTCCGGATTTCCGGAACCTTTTCCATAATGGAAATGGAAAAAATTTCCGGATCATTTCTGTACTTAAACCGAAACCCGGAATTCCGGTTGGAACCCAAGTCAGATCTAACATATTTTTAAACAATTAAGATAAATAAAGGAAAGCAGAATCATCTCAACATAATTTTTAGTTAGCAGCATGAAAACTGCAATTGATAATTCAAAATATTATTTTTTTTCAAAATTAGCCAAAATACAGGGTGTCCCAAGAAACATAGGAATTCAGTGATGAATTGGATATCGTCTTTGTTAGGAATTAGCATTGCAATACCTAATTTCAAACCCATAATATTATTATGTCTGCTAGAGTTTATTTTATGAAAACGGTAAAAGACTGTAAAGATGTGTCTAATAGTGTCTCCGCAAGATCAACAGTGAAGACGGATAAGTTTACTCAGTTTGCATACTGCAATTTTCTTGTTTTACTAAGTACAACCGCATGCAGTCAAAACATAAACAAACAAAATGTGAACATGAATTCCCATGCATATTGGGACACCCTGTATATGATGACAGATGTATGAACAAGAAGAAAAGGAAAACCAAGAAATTTAGAAATGTCAAAATATTTGCATCTGTTATCATATAGTTATTTAATAATATTGATAAAATCTAAAAAAAATAAAATATTTAAAAATGAATGTTTGATCAAAAAAGTCAGTAAAAGAAAGAAGGAAGAAAAGGACTCTTTGTAACCAGAAATTTATCACAAAAGAAAAGTGTTTACTGCAGAAAGAAAGTGATAATTTTTAATTAAAGAAACAAAAATGTTAATAGTCACTGATAAAACAATTGTTTTATTTGTGAAATAATGGAAACATTGTCAGTTATTTTGCCAAATATAAACTTTTAATTTGTTAATTAGACATCTGTAAATCTAAAAATCTGTAAATTCTCTGACTTTTAGCACATATTTAAGGTACTCTTGGTTTAACAGTATGGACAGAAAGAATATTATTTAAGAATTTAATTTTACTTATAACATGAATAAAGCATGTACGTAACATGTGTTACCTCTTGCAGTCCATCTAGTTTGAGTATCTTGAATGGTTCAAAATAGTACATAGTATTTGGAAGTGCACTAAGAAGGTCGCCTGTGAATGAAGAACCAGACCTGAATTCAATATTAAATAACAGAAAAGATTGCTATTTTATCAAAGGGTCAATTATATATTAATGATATACCTTGCATAAGAAAGTATAAGTATGTTCTTATTCCTCCCTTTGTGCTCTGTTTCTTGGATGATGGCAACGTTTTGGAAATCATTACCTTTAAGCATTTCCATGATGGGAGTATAATTTAAGTTGAATTCCGCTAAACAAGAAAAACATAATTTACAGAAATTGATCCTATTTTTTAATTAATGAACTAGTACCTATACATATGTTAATGGATATATGCAGAGTAATCAGTGTCAGAGTAATGAGAGTCATGTAGAAAATGTATCTAAAAAATCATTAATAAGGACTCAACCTTTTTTTATGTATGCAACTGTCTTGTGTAGTCATGATGAACATTATGATTTTTTGCAGAGATTTTTACTTTTGTTTAAGATTTTTAATTCTTGAATTTGAACCTGAAACAAACAAAAAAGTAAAAATCACAACATAACACATAATTTATCAAACATTTTCGATTAAAATGAAACTTTTTATACCAAGATCTCAAAATTGGGAGTAAAAATGTGGGTTAAAAATTCTCACAAATGAAAAATACTTGTTCTCTCTCTTATAAATTTTAAGTACTGTAATTACCTTTTAGGATTAACTCTCATATTTTCATAAGATTATATCTGCAAAGTTTACTTTAACATTAATGATTTAGCTATTACAGTTTCCTTTAATAAATTTCAGATAATGTCCCATTGGGTTTGCCAGTAAGGAAGGAAAATGTAAATTTAATTTTTAGTGCCTACAAAAATAAAAAATGGTTTAAAAGTAACAAAATGTATTTTTGTGCTTGAAAAATTAATTTTGTTTGTTATAGAAAAATCATAAGATGTAACACTTCTTTTCATATATTGGGTTTGCCTAACTATTATCTGCATTGAAATATCTATGATTTGGAAAGTTTTGTAAACAGAGCAGTAAATAGATAGAGGTGTAATATGTGTAGGGATGGATTGTTTTCATTTGTTTGAAAAACTAATGTTTTGTTATGAAAACAACGACAAAAAACAAAAAGTGAAATAATTGTTTTAATCATTATAAAAAAACTATATTATATTATTATAAACTTGGTGAGAAACTCACATATAAAGAACTCAATAAAGGAAACTTTACAAAGAGAAAGTCAATATAACAAGCCAGATTGAATCAATTAAAGTACTAACTTTGCATAGACATTTATTTTACATTATTATTAAAATACAAACTAAGGATCAACCGAAGTTATTCCTGGAATCATAGATGGAGCTTATTCTCCTCCTGGAGCTACTGGAGATGTTATCGACCGCTCTCCTCTGATCCTTCATCAAGACTAACCCTCTTCCGGGGCACAAAATGGACGTTCAGTTTGCTTTCTCTGCTGACGAAAGCACCGTTATCCGTGCTCCCCAGGGTTTGAATCTCGTCTCCGTGGAAAATTCCTCCCCCGTTGGTAACAGATGCAGAGTAACGGGTTAAATCATTATTATTTGTTTGTCCAGTCCTCAACTCATGATAAGACTTGGCTTGGGTTGAATGAACTAGGATACAGTTATACATCCTTGGTGGGTTCACATTATAACTAAATAATATACAGTTCATTTGTTGACAATTTGTTAACAATCGTAAACGACAATCCTTGGTTAACAATTATTAAAAATGACCCTTCTGTTTTGCAACTATTGCATTGCCCTCAAGATAAATCAGTTAATACTGTGCCGTATGACGTTAGGCCTAACCGTAAGCTCCTCTTCTCTCAGATCATTTCATGATCTATCAAGACAGGATAATCTTCAAGTTTTATTAAGGCACAGAGCTTCAATCTGACAATAAATATATTTTTAGACTACAGAAAAGCTTTAGATAATACAATTTATCAATATTCATCCAATTAACAAATCATAACATCATACTATCCAGGCATTAAAAACTGTAGTTTTGAAGCTAAATAGACGTAAATATAAGCATACAGGAATACAATAGAATCCAATCATTTAATAAGTAATAATTACCACATTAGTTGTTGTAAACCCCGAGATTCTTTTGGTCTACAAAAAGAACTCTTTCCTATCTTACGTAATAAATTGCAATAATAAATTCTCTTTAACATGTTTATTGATCTAAGCTTATTAATTTTTGTTTATTCAGGAGATCAGTATTCGGTCCCAAGCTCCACCTCCTGTACTCCAGCGGATCACTAACTATGCTGAAGAGGCAACCTGGTACTTCCTTGGGTTCCTTAACTGTTCCATGATCTTCACTAGATCCCTAAGTTGATACCGTATCTGCTCTAAGGTTCCTTCGTTTATATAGAGGGCGGCAGCATGTTCTATATATATATCTATATATATATATATACATAAAAACTAAGCTATTACTAATCCGTTCTAGATTACATCAAGATCCCCCTGATTATATAAGTTCAAATTATAGGTTGGAATTTGTTCTCTTATATCATCATATTATCTATACGGATTATGACATTACAACTTTTGTGCTTATTTTTATATATATCCCCCATTTGGTTTTTAAGTTAATAAATAAAGGTATTATTTGGAATATCCAGAATTTTTTCTTATCTGTGAACCTGTTTTGAAGTTACAATTGAACAGTTATTAACATTAAAATATTGTATTGAATTTAGAAGAACCTATTCAAGTATTGATAGATAAGCGTCGGAAATCTAGTTGGGTCTACAGTGTTACAGAAACGGTAGTCCAATCAGACACCAGTTTTATATACTTTCTGACCAATAATACGGTCGGATGACCTTAACCAACCTTAAAAAACCTTTATCTATAAGGTCATTTTTTGGTCAGGTTAGGTCATTTTAGGTCGCATAATTTTGGAAGGTCATTCTTATCGGTAAATTTAGGTTATGTGAGGTCTGGACCTACTGCAGCAGGGCTTGCTGTCACATCTTGTTATTTTGAGGCATTTCCGTGGTGAGGCATTTCCATAGTACCCATTGACCCCCCCCCCCTCCCCACAAGGTCCCCTAATAACTCCCACCCTTTAAAAAAATAATTTTCCTGTAATGTTTATTTTATAACCATTTAAGATTATTTAATTTTTTAACGTTTTTTTTTTAAATCTACAATTTGTAATTGACACCCCTTGATTCCAATTGACACATACAAAGACATAGGCAATTCTCAACCTCGCCCATCCTTCTCTAAAATTTTGTAATATTTTGCGTAAAATTGTTTGACATGATTTTTTTAATTAAAGAAAAGAGAAAAAATATTTGTTTCTCAATTAAAAAAGAAGAATAATAATCCCTGAATTCCAAGAAACTGGACAGGTATAGCCAGCCAATGGCTCTAATCCTGCCCCGGCTGGCAGACCAGTAACCAGTTAGTCTCTACAGACTGCACTGCAGTTCACACTCCACAATACATGTCGGACACCCTGACAAACAACCAATCATGGACAACGAATATTCTATTTACTACAATTTACTGCTGAGTCTGTTGAAAATTATCTTAAACATTTAGGTAAAAAATTATATCTTTGGAATTTCATTAATAAGGAATAAACTAACAAGCAATACACCTGACACCCTTCCCCCCCCCCCTCTCCCTCATGCATTTAAAATCTGCAGGAACATATTCAAGAACAAGTTAAAGTTTTAAATACTAGAAATCTTTTATTTCATTTATAAAGTTTTTATTCGAAAAAAATACACAGGGGTTCTCCAAATAACAAAAAAATTAGCGGATTTTCAAAAAATTTTTTTGTGAATTTTCAAAATTTTCAAAAATCGAATTTGGATGGAGGCAAATTTTTTAAAATTTGATCATTCTTAAACCTTCCCTTGGGTCACGTGATGTCCCACAAAAAATTTGGGCCCGATCAGTTCAGCCTTTTTGACGTTTATTGGATGTATACAAACAAACAAACAAACAAACAAGCCAAATTTATATATAGATATTGTTATCCTTAAACGATAAAAATAAAAAAAATCGATTGTTTATGGTTCGTTTTTATGTCGTTTTTTTGCTTGTATATCTTCTGCCAGGGTCTTAATTTGATAAATTGTAAGAAAAGAAATACAACTTAAAAAACATGTTTCATGATAAAATATTCTTTGTTTTAAAAATAATTATCGTTCAGAGCTGTTCGGAGAGAGGAATCTACTCAAACGTATGAAGAGACCCAAACACTTTGGAGATCCACTAACAAAACGGAGTTGCTCGTGGAGTTGAGAAGATCCTTCTCAGGACATCAAAACTATTCTGGGAGGAGTTTGAGCTGAGGAGGACAATGCTGAAGGGCGCCAGGGCCAGGAAGATCACAAGATTCCTCTCCTAATCTTTCTAGGTCAGCTGACATTTTTACAAATAAAATGGCAGATTTATGTTTTTAAAAATTTAAAATTGCGAATTTTTATCTTGTAATTTTCTTGAAAAATTTTATATTTTTTTTTCTTAAATTCTTAAAATTTCTTTGATTTTTATTAACATAGACATTGGTCTAAATAAATTTCTTGTAAATTTTCTTAATTTTACAAATTTTAAATGGTGTAATGCATTTTGTTTCTTTTTTGTGAATTGTGAATTGTGAATTTGTGGATTATTTTCAATTGTGGTTTCTCTAAAAGTGACTTGTGGATTTCTTGATACAGAAACGATAGTGGGAAATTGTGTGGATTAAACTTTTTAACTTGAAAAAAAAATTATCTTTCACATTATTGATCAGATAAAGGGTCACTTGAAATTATGTGTACAGTCCCTTTAAAAGCCTTTTCTGATTAATATTAACATATATATCATTTATAGATAGAGATATGTGTTAAACTTTTATTTAATTTTGATTGTTTATTATTCGTTCTTTTTTTTCAATCATAAAAAAAAATTAAATTTTTTTGTTTTCAAAATTACGATTCATTTACCCGCTGTTAGATTCATTTATCAATTAAATGTTGTTCTATAAAAATTTGAAAGTCCTTGTTTAGTCCTTCTTTCCTCTTCAATAATTTTCTTTCATCCATTCCATCTTTCCTTCTCTTACTTCTTTTCTATTTATTCATCGATTTTTTATTTCAGTTAGAACCGGGCAATCTGTATTCAGAATATAGAATGAAGTTCAGCCTACTTGGTTTACGAATTTACAGTACAGAATACCAGAGTGCACAAGGTACCAGAGTGCACAAGGTACCAGAGTGCACAAGGTACCAGAGTGCACAAAGTACCAGAGTGCACATAGTACCAGAGTGCACAAAGTACCAGAGTGCACAAAGTACCAGAGTGCACAAAGTACTAGAGTGCACTAAGTACCAGAGTTCACGAAGTATAAGGGATATAAAGGAGTCCAAAGCCCGAGCTATAGAGCTATGAGCTGAAATATCACGGAAAAAAATATAAACTTTAAAAAAGATAAAAGTGAAGAGTGAAGACAATGTTGTAAACAATTTATATCCAGTTATTTGTGCATTAAATATTTATGTTTGTTTCTAATCAAATATTTATGTTTGTTTCTAAACAATTCAAGTTATTTTGATATTAAATATTTTAAAGCAACAACATTTTTTAAACTGTAGGTTTCTAGTTTCAATTGATTCATGATTGCAGTATATACAGTAAGAATCAGAAAACTCTAAAATATAAAAATGTCTTTTAGACACAATCTTTGACTTTTATGTATAGTCCAATTGCTCCAGATTGTTGTAAACAGACTTATTTCGTAATGATTTAATACGTGTCTTGTAAAAGTGCTTGCAACAATTTCCAATTCACTTAAATTTGGCTGTAAAGTCATCTTCCTATTTCGGAGTTTTCTGGTTATTTCTGTAGGTTAAATGTTGAAATTGTACGACATATTATCGTAGGTTTTATATGATTTTCACTTATTTGTAGGTTTAAAGGAAGTTGCAGTAGGTCAAAAGGAAGTTGTAGAAGGTCGAAAGGAAGTTGTAGTAGGTCGAATGGAAGTTGCAGTAGGTCGAAAGGAAGTTGTAGTAGGTCAAAAGGAAGTTGCAGTAGGTCAAAAGGAAGCTGCAGTAGGTCGAGAGGAAGCTTCAGTAGGTCGATAGGAAGTCGTAATAGGTTGGATGCAGTTTTGGTTGGTCGCTGTTGATGTCGTCCCGACGTCAAGGTGACGTCGCTACAAGGTCAAAAATTGTGCGTTTTGTGTCAATGCAACGTCTAAACGACTATAAATCGACTTCAGACCGACATCGTCAGGACGTCGGTCTGACCTAAGACGACGTCCCCCTGATGTCTTGTCGACGTCAGTTGGTTATGTGGGCAAGCTTGGTTAGTATTCAAACATTGTCTACAGATTGATTGATTGTCAGAATGATTTTGATTAATTGATCGATTGATTGATTGATAGTTTTATTATCTATATGATACATTGTCATCTATATCAGGGAATACTTTATCTTGATCATTTTGTGGCATAATGGTCCTAGATAAAGCATCTGCCGTTTTATTAGTTTTCCTTGGTCTGTGTATTCTATCAAAATCAAAGGAAGACGACTAATCTGTCTTGATTAAGAATATGTTCAAACTTCCGAACAGAAAAATCAATATCTAAAATATAAGGCTCAAGGGTTTATAATAAGCCCGGATTGGTTTTACCAAAAACTCTTTTAAATCATTAATCCTTTTTTCTTACAGGGAACAGCTGCCCTAGGAGATACAGAGGGTTTGATTTTTCCGGCGAAGAGCCACTGCTTGAGCTGCCGGTCAAGATCTTGTTCTTGAAATGGATTTAAAGGACAACATTTATATCTCCTTTAATAAATTTCCTCCGCTCTTGAATTGCAGCTTCGGATAATTCTGACTCTTGTTTATGGTTTAAGGTATTAATTTCATTTAATTTAGCCAAAAAGCATCAACAATTTTTTTCTATTCTAACTTTCAAAGGAATTTTCACATTATTTATCCCCAAGTTCAGACAAGGAACTAAAATTATCTCTTTGCTATATTTATTTAATGTATTTAAAAGCAGTAATTATTGGAGTTTAGAAAATTAGAGTTTTCTTTGGATTGAAAATACCCTATTTCTCTGTCCATTTTCAAATTGACAGATAAAATGTCAAATAGTTCTTTTTAATTATTACTTTCTTTGCCGTTAATGATGTAAATACAATTGTTTCAATTATTTATCTTGAGCCATGATTTGTATAAATCTGTCATCATTAGAATTTTTTATTAACAGAGTAATATTAACTAAATCTAATTTCTGACCATCTATGTTAAAGATAACCTTTTGTCTTTCAAACTTCAATTCAGTTTTATATATTTCCAAAGAGTGACTCTGTAAGATTATTTATCTTTCTTTTAATAATTAACATAATTAATTCTAAATCTAAACTAGAAGAATCCAGTCTAACTTTTTCATCTTTGGGTTCAGCTTATCCACTTTGTGGAAACATATTGTCCAGGTACCATTTTCTGGGACAATTCATACTAAAATGACCATTATTGCCACAGGAGTAATGTCCGCCTCTGTGGGCTGCCTTCCAGCATTAACAAACCGGTTATCTTTCATTTTCGCGTTTTATTTCTTAAACTTTTTAAAAGTTTTTAAATTTATTAATTGCATCCAGTTCTGCACTCTCATTCCTTACATTTACTTCATATCTAGTCTTCCTGTTTTTGGATGAACTAGTGTTGACATAACTGTAATTCATGAGGCGGATATCTGTACTGATGATATCTAATTCCCCAGCTATAGTTTTGGATTAAATATTTTCAACGCTTGTTTGCACTATTGTGCATAAAGCATCAAAAGTTTCAATCTTAACTTCAGTGATATTTTGGATAGAAATGACATCCAGGATCTTTGTTTTCAATATGTCTTTATGAAGAAGACCCCTAATGGCTTCTTCTACAAAATTTGGTTTTCCCTTGGGGAAATGACCTTATAAACAGGTTAAACTTTAGGTAAACTTTCCTTTACATTAAACTTTCCTTGACATTTAACAGTAGGATTCCATAGAAGGTTCCGTCTCTGAAACCGCAAATGAACAAGGGGGGCGGAATGTTTAAAACATGGTATTTTTTAAACAAACATCCCGTTAGTCTAAAGTTTGCGTATATCCCCCCATCCTGATCAAGAAGTCTTCAAAGTTTTCTGTTTATCATAGGACAACTTCAACTTTAAGAATAGGATTTCAGTATTATCAGGGATATAATTGTCAATTCCTCTTTTACTGTCATACCCTGGGGTTCAAGGGATTTGATCTAAAATTGAATCTTTCCCTTCCCTGGAGGCTATATATCAATCGTAGGAAACCCAGATCCGGATCTGGGTTGGGGTGTATTTTCCACATGCATAGGAACGATAATTTGGTTCCTGTGTTTGGGAATTGTCCCAAGCCAGGGATTAACTGTCCTCGGAAAACCTCCATTTGGGTTATAAGCTGTGCTCGGCCTATTTATAGCCGCACTAAGAGCCGGGTTCATTGACCCAGTTCCCATATCTTCCGATGAGGAAGTAGTTTCCATCTCAAGGGTAATAAACTGTAAATCCAGCTGATCTGGGTTAGAGGGGTATTCTTATCTGATACCCCCCCCCACTTTTGGCCCCCTGGACATTGTTTATCTTTGGTATTGTGTTTTAAAAAATTAGTAAATTTAGAATTTGGAACTATCTATTGTTAATTAAAATTTTGTTTATTAAAGTCTATAATCATTTTTAGTTTTAAAAAGAAACATGTTTTCAAAAATACTATTCTATTTTAAATATGTTTTGGTTTTTATATTTTAAAAGAAAATTGTTAGATTAAGGTTTTTACGATTTTAAGATGAAAACGTTCAAAACATTTTTGGTTTTTATATTCTTTAAAGCAAAACAGTTTAAAACATTCGCAAATTATTTTAAATTTAAACCAAATTTAATATGATTAAATGAGTTATTCAGTATTTAGTGTAAACATAAAATTGTGGTTTGGATTCACAAGTTTATTGTTACACTCAATGTTTATCTCTTTTAATTTTATTAAAATTTTGATTATTAAGTAGATAGCTTTTGATTTTACATTTAACTTCGGATTTTATAATTATTTAAACATTGTCAGCCTGAAGTTGGAGTTTTAGGGCTTATTGACTGCTGTTTAAAAGTTACTTTTAAATATTATGTTTAACAAATTGAATGGGTTTTGTGATCAAATGTTAAAACTTTATCTGCCTAAAGTGGATTTCTAGGACTTAATGATTATGGTTTTATATTACATTCAGCAAAAGATTCAATCTCTTTTATGATTTCATAAAAATATGCTTTAATTATTTTTACTTACAATCCTATTTACAATCGCTATACTTACAGAATCTTATTATTTTGGTGATTTACTGATTAAACCTTATCTGCCTAGATTTGAAGTTCTAGGACTTAATAAGTATAATCTGTAAAGCTGGCAATAGAACTGTATTTTTATTCTGTAGAATTATCTACTTTTTATTTTAAGTGTTGTTTAAGTCTTAAACTAGGTATGTTTATCTATGGTATATGAAATAACTATCCTTGTTCAATCTCAAAGTCAAGTCTAAGTAAAATATGAGCCTCTGTTCATATATACAAACAAATCTTATTCCACTAGGTTAATATTTTGGCTAAATTACATTAAACTTGGGTTATGTTTAAACGAGTAAAGTGTTTACCATTTTCTTAACTATGCTTCCGATAAAGTTCTGTATGTTCGGAATTCTCTTGCTTGTGTGCAGGGCTCTGGTACAGCGTCTTGAGCTCCTGGTCTGCTTCAGTGTATTGTAACAATGGGTGATTTTGTTGATCTTTTACGATCAGCGATTCAAGGATCTTTTTAGATCGCTGAGATCATAGCTGGCTAGGGGCATCACCCCCCCCCCTTTATACCCTTCGGTTGGACTTTTGAATCCTATTTTGAATCCTAACGGATTTATTTGAGTTTGCATGTGAATTCTATAAATAACCCAAGCCAAGCTGAAAGTTCCGTTATTCCAGAGGCACGGGGGCTGGGGGGCTAGCCGGCCAGCTCCTGGGGAACTAGGGTTAAATGAGAGCCCAGGATGGAGCGAAATGAAGGGAAAAGAGTTAGTTGATCGTCAGCTCCCTTAAACTGAGGTTCCCTTGAAGATTCCCCATCACTCTGAAACTACTTCAATTCATAATATTTGATTCGTATAGTATCATTCTTTTTAGTTTTGTATCTTTGTAAATAATAAACTGTAAGAAAAACCGACTCGCTGAATATTAATAATACAAGTGTTTGCATTGATTTATTTTTCTTTCATATATAATAGTATGTGTGGAGAGTTTTCTATGCTCCGATTCGTCCCCGC